TGATAATTTAATAACGCCCTCCACCGCCAAGAGCCCGGCCGTCGCCTCGGGAGCTCTTCACAGTGAGAGTCAAGAGCCACAGTATTCTCCTTGACCCTCTCCTGTCCCAAGTGGTTCCGTCCCGTCCCGTCCCATACCATCCCGTCTTACCCTTGTACCGCGTCTCGGCTTGTTCCGGGCCTTCCCGTCCCATCCTGTTAAGGGCATCCCTTTTCCACGATATCCTATCCGTTTCCGGGGGTGCTATTCCCTACGATCCTCGACATCCCGTCCCATCTGTCCCAGCTCACTCATCACCTGCGTCTACCATCCCATTAACCTACCTGTCTGCACTCATGCGCATATCTAGCGTTGGTTTCGAGGATCAATGCTCCCGCGGCGCGGTCTCCGACCAGGCCGCGGTCTAGTCAACCAGGCTATCAAACGCAGCTGCTCGCAGCCTGACGGAGGAATCACAGTCCTGTTGATCAAGTAGTGGAGGGCTGGTTGAGGACGGGTTGCTATAACCTAACCTAACCTAACCTAACCTAACCTAACCTAACCTACATCAAATACAAATATTCGCCAACAGAACCTAAACACCTAACCTAACCTAACCTAACCTACATCAAATACAAATATTCGCCAACAGAACCTAAACACCTAACCTAACTATACATAGAATTTTTATGTATAATAATAATTTATTTATGAAGACAATCAATTTTTAATACACAGTATGTTAGCATTGATGAACGCGTCTGGGGAGGACGGCCGCTGCTTTAACCAGCCTAGTGTGAGGACAGGTTGGCAAGTAGTTGTGTAAATGCTTGATGAATCCTTGCCCCAGGATACTACATGATGCTGTGCAACACAAGACTACAACGGCGTCCAACAGAAAACCATAAAACGGTGTAAAACAGACAACTATGTAACAGCGCTCAACAGTCAAATAAGCAAAGTTATACAAAAGGTAAAAAGTACATAACAATGTAGAATGAAGCAAGGTGAAGCTATATAACATTGAGGAAGAAGGCTAAGAATACCAGGTGAACGACAGCTGGGATTCAACAAGTCTTCAGTCTAGGCTCGTTAAAGCGGCGCCCGCCACCCCCAAGACACATTCATAAATTTTAACGTACAGTATCAAAAATAGGTTTGTTCTCGTATATAAATGAATATTGCTATTCATTAAAGTTCTATGTATAGTTAGGAGTATGTTAAGTGTTTAGGTGTTGTTAGTAAATTATTTGTATTTGATGCACGTGGGTGAAGCATTTATAGAATTGTGGTTCGAACAGAGGACGTGAGCGAAGCACTTGTTCCGGAAGTGTTCGGACGTCATCGGTTGTCTGTCGTGTGTAAACCGTTTTTCATTCATAAACAGGGGGGGAGGGAGGTTGGGTTAACGAGCATTTGGCCTTTGTTGTTGAAGTGCCCCGACCTCTGGGTACTTCAGGGGTGGGGGTCGGATCGTGCTTCACGAGTGGTGCTTCATAACCCTTTCATTGTTTTGGCTCATCAGCTGATCTACTAGTCAGCTGATTCACACGTAAACAAATATGGGATAGTGGCAGCCCGTTCTATAAACAAAGACCCAAAGTTCATTCCATACATACCCCCTGTTTGTGAATGAAAAGCGGTTTACACACGACTCACAATTGATTTTGTTCGAACACTTCCGGAACAAGTGCTTCACTGACGAATTTTGTTCGAACCACAACGCTGTAAATGCTTCACCCACGTACTACAAATAATCGCCAACAGAATCTAAACACCTAATCTAACCTATGCCTATATATGCTAATATATTATAATATTAATGTATATTTCAGAACATTCCCGTTTTGAATGAACAGCATGTTAAAATTTATGAATGCGTCTGTGGGATCAACCGCTGGATGTAATGGACTTGAGTCGAGGACAGGTTGCTGTAAATGCTTCACCAACCCATGTTCGACCAAATAGCTGCCATAAATCAGCCCGTCCTCCAAACAAAGATCCAAAAGTGATTCCATGCACCCGCCAAACCCCCTGTTTGTGAATGAAAAGCGGTTTACACGCGACTCACAATTGATTTTGTTCGAACACTTCCGGAACAAGTGCTTCACTGACGAATTTTGTTCGAATCACAACGCTATAAATGCTTCACCCACGTACTACAAATACAAATAATCGCCAACAGAACCTAAACACCTAACCTAACCTAACCTATGCCTATATATGAACAATATGCTAATATATTATAATATTAATTTATACTTGAGAAAATTCCCGTTTTGAATGAACAGCATATTAAAATTTATGAATGCGTCTGTGGGGTTGACCGCTGGATGTAATGGACTTGAGTCGAGGACGGGTTGCATAAATACTATGGATGTGTTGTGACATTAAGATGGTGGCAGTGTGTGTGTGTGGTAGAAGATGTGGTGGAGCTAGTGGCGCAAGTGCTTACTGAACACCCACTACGACAACGTGAGGGGTTATCTTGAGATGATTTCGGTTTTTTTTTTAGTGTCCCCGCGGCCCGGCCCTCGACCAGGCCTCCACCCCCAGGAAGCAGCCCGTGACAGCTGACTAACACCCAGGTACCTATTTTACTGCTAGGTAACAGGGGCATAGGGTGAACGAAACTCTGCCCATTGTTTCTTGTCGGCGCCTGGGATCGAACCCAGGACCACAGGATCACAAGTCCAGCGTGCTGTCCGCTCGGCCGACCTGCTCCCGGTGGTGGTGGTGGTGGTGGTAGTGCCGCCATTAGTCTTGCTACGCCACAACGAACAAATTCCAACCTCCTAACCTAATCGGAAAAGTACGAACCCAAGCAACCCACCTAACCTCTCGACTCCGATGCAGAGAAAACGTAGACATTTGTGAGCCGCTACTTTTCACAGTACGGTGCATTTATAACATACATTCCCATAACGTACAAAACGTGACCTACTAGTTGAGAGTTTGGGTGGTGGAGGGTTGTGGTGGTGGAGGGTTGTGGTGGTGGAGGGTTGTGGTGGTGGAGGGTTGTGGTGGAGGGTTGTGGTGGTGGAGGGTTGTGGTGGAGGGTTGTGGTGGTGGAGGGTTGTGGTGGAGGGTTGTGGTGGAGGGTTGTGGTGGTGGAGGGTTGTGGTGGTGGAGGGTTGTGGTGGAGGGTTGTGGTGGTGGAGGGTTGTGGTGGAGGGTTGTGGTGGAGGTAAGCGGATACAGCACCAGCAGCTCATCCACGGAATGCTGTTGCAAGTGGCTTAGAATTTCAACATAACAAAAGCTTCCTTTTATTCACAAACATACTATGCAAAAACATTTGCAATGTTTCTTCATCGTGCCATGTTTTGTAGCTGTGGTTAGTTGACAATAAGGTATGTGAAACTGACAGCTGGTCACATATGTGGGAGATCCTAACATATATATGTAGTGGTGACACTTGCACAGTGTTTCATTAAGGTGTGTCCTTATACCATCTGCATGTTTATGTGTAGCATGGTTGGCAGGTGTGGAGCAGGTGTGGAGCAGGTGTAAGAACACAGGTGAGGTGGAAATGTTCAGTGTGACAGGTGTGGAGGGGTAATATTCCACACACTGTCGTGATATAACCGAGGTCAACGGGTCATAACAGGTCACGGCAGTAGGAACTAACAAATGTCCACGAGGAAGTTTGACCTTAATCACGTTTCCAAGTGAAGGGAATTATTTTAGCGGACAAACCACGGTGACCCCAAGCCAGCCAATATTCCTTAAGGGTCTCTCACGATCTTATTTACAACACTTGCGGTCAAACCACCGAACATAACCTTAGTGGTTTAATGGTTGTAGAGCTTAATGTTGTTGTGGATAGGTAGAATAGTTGTGGCGAAGAAGCGAGACACACACATCAGTAGAGTTCTCAAACGGTCTGAAGTAAATTTGGAAGAATGAAAGAATCTAGAATGATTGGTTTTGCCTGAAGAAGACAGAGTAAGCAATGCTCCAGGGGGCTAGATTCACGAAGCACTTACGCAAGTTCTTACGAACGTGTACATCTTTCCTCAATCTTTGACGGCTTTGGTTACATTTATTAAACAGTTTACAAGCATGAAAACTTGCCAATCAACTGTTGTTCTTGTTATAAACAGCCTCCTGGTGCTTCGGAGCTCATTAACTGTTTAATAATTGTAATTAAAGCCGCCAAAGATTGAGAAAAGATGTACAGGTTCGTAAGTGTTTCATGAATCTAACTCCTGACAGATATATAAGAAGAGCTGTCAAGGGCAGCTGTACGGAACGCCTTGTACTCCCTATGTATGTATATGTGTGTGTGTATGTATATGTATGGGTATAAAGTATATATGGAAGCTGATCAGAATTACATTTCACCTTTGTGAATGTACATTAATGACACTATGTAAAAGACACATCTAACACTTTATGTAGGGCATACGTAAATCTGTGTATCTATGTATTTACGTATATAGGTTAGCTTAGCATTTTAAAACCACCGAATCACCTTCTGTGGTTGAGTGTTCAATAAACCCTTGAACTATATGTTTAACACTTCTCTAACCCTGTCCATGGAGGACAGAAGAAAATGTATATATGCTGGTTAGAAAACCACGTCTTTTTTTTTTCTACCACGTCTGTGGTAGAAAAAAAACTACCTTGTTGCATTGTTCCCGCAGAAGACCAATTAAATCCCGCCCGAAGTGGGAAATAGGATGAAAGCTGCCACTCCAGCTGTAAGGAGCTCCAACTTGTTCAGTACTGATGCACAAACAACAGGCAACCTGGGGATAAATCAAGATACTAATTACTAAAGTAAGTAAGTAAAGTAAGTTCGGTCACCTCAGCGGACGTATCACAGGCGGTGGAGAGATCTGAAGACTGAGAGCCGGAAGTGATTAGAAACAAGGTGCAGAGATGAGTTCGTGATTAGAGGAATGTACAGGGGGAAGGAGACAATGGATCAGAGTAAAGACAGTGATCAACTGCTTATCGTCTCAACGTGATGGCTGAGATGCAAGTTATCCAGGACCATTAAAACCTCGACCTAGACCATTAGAGCCTCGACCTAGACCATTAAAACCTCGACCTAGACCATTAAAACCTCGACCTAGACCATTAGAGCCTCGACCTAGACCATTAAAACCTCGACCTAGACCATTAGAACCTCGACCTAGACCATTAGAACCTCGACTTAGACCATTAGAACCTCGACCTAGACCATTAGAACCTCGACCTAGACCATTAGAGCCTCGACTTAGACCATTAGAACCTCTACCTAGACCATTAGAGCCTCGACCTAGGCCATTAGAACCTCGACCTAGACCATTAGAACCTCGACCTAGACCATTAGAGCCTCGACCTAGACCATTAGAACCTCTACCTAGACCATTAGAACCTCGACTTAGACCATTAGAACCTCTACCTAGACCATTAGACCCTCGACCTAGACCATTAGACCCTCGACCTAGACCATTAGAAGCATTAGACCATTATCTAAGACTCCAGAAGCTCGTCTCCCTCAAGATCGCTGGAAGAAGACAGGAGTCGTTATAACGATCAGTAAAGATGAAAAAGAACAATTATTTCAGCATTAGAGAAGAGGACAAAAGATTTTCTGATTGAGTTCTACAATTATCTTACACTTCAGAGTTAGGCTAGGTGACTATGGGGGCCACGGTGGAGACTGGGGACCATGTTGGGGGACTGGGGACCATGGTGGAGACTGGGAACCATGGTGGAGACTGGGAACCATGGAGGAGACTGGGAACCATGGTGGAGACTGGGGGACCATGGTGGGGACTGGGAACCATGGTGGAGACTGGGGACCATGGTGGGGACTGGGGACCATGGTGGAGACTGGGGACCATGGTGGAGACTGGGGACCACGGTGGAGACTGGGAACCATGGTGGAGACTGGGGACCATGGTGGAGACTGGGGACCATGGTGGAGACTGGGGACCACGGTGGAGACTGGGAACCATGGTGGAGACTGGGAACCATGGTGGGGGACTGGGGACCATGGTGGAGACTGGGGACCATGGTGGAGACTGGGAACCATGGTGGGGGACTGGGGACCATGGTGGAGACTGGGAACCATGGTGGGGGACTGGGGACCATGGTGGAGACTGGGGACCATGGTGGAGACTGGGAACCATGGTGGAGACTGGAGGACCATGGTGGGGGACTGGGGGACCATGGTGGGGGACTGGGGAACCATGGTGGAGACTGGAGGACCATGGTGGAGACTGGAGGACCATGGTGGAGACTGGAGGACCATGGTGGGGGACTGGGGGACCATGGTGGGGGACTGGGGAACCATGGTGGAGACTGGAGGACCATGGTGGAGACTGGAGGACCATGGTGGAGACTGGAGGACCATGGTGGAGACTGGAGGACCATGGTGGAGACTGGAGGACCATGGTGGGGGACTGGGGGACCATGGTGGGGGACTGGGGACCATGGTGGAGACTGGGAACCATGGTGGGGGACTGGGGACCATGGTGGAGACTGGGGACCATGGTGGAGACTGGGAACCATGGTGGGGGACTGGGGACCATGGTGGAGACTGGGAACCATGGTGGGGGACTGGGGACCATGGTGGAGACTGGGGACCATGGTGGAGACTGGGAACCATGGTGGGGGACTGGGGACCATGGTGGAGACTGGGAACCATGGTGGGGGACTGGGGACCATGGTGGAGACTGGGAACCATGGTGGGGGACTGGGGACCATGTTGGGGGACTGGGGACCATGGTGGAGACTGGGAACCATGGTGGAGACTGGGAACCATGGTGGAGACTGGGAACCATGGTGGCGACTGGGAACCATGGTGGGGGACTGGGGACCATGTTGGGGGACTGGGGACCATGGTGGAGACTGGGAACCATGGTGGGGACTGGAGGACCATGGTGGAGACTGGAGGACCATGGTGGGGGACTGGGGGACCATGGTGGGGGACTGGGGACCATGGTGGAGACTGGGAACCATGGTGGGGGACTGGGGACCATGGTGGGGACTGGGGACCATGGTGGGGACTGGGGACCATGGTGGGGACTGGGGACCATGGTGGGGACTGGGAACCATGGTGGGGGACTGGGGACCATGGTGGGGACTGGGGACCACGGTGGAGACTGGGAACCATGGTGGGGGACTGGGGACCATGGTGGAGACTGGGAACCATGGTGGGGGACTGGGGACCATGGTGGAGACTGGGAACCATGGTGGGGGACTGGGGACCATGTTGGGGGACTGGGGACCATGGTGGAGACTGGGAACCATGGTGGAGACTGGGAACCATGGTGGAGACTGGGAACCATGGTGGAGACTGGGAACCATGGTGGGGGACTGGGGACCATGTTGGGGGACTGGGGACCATGGTGGGGACTGGGGACCACGGTGGAGACTGGGAACCATGGTGGGGGACTGGGGGACCATGGCTCGGGGGACCCTGGCCAGCTTAGAGAAGGGCGGGAACAAGAAGCTGGCACCGGAGCATCTCTGGATTAAGCTGAGCCATAGTGCCAGCCGCCTCCACCATGATAAGTGTGGCACTCTCTCACTCTCACTCACTACACACAACCATCAAACATGAACCAAACAACGTGTTTGGTTCATGTTCGAGAGAGAGAGAGAGAGAGAGAGAGAGAGAGAGAGAGAGAGAGAGAGAGAGAGAGAGAGAGAGAGAGAGAGAGAGAGAGAGAGAGAGAGAGAGAGAGAGAGAGAGACAACTCCCCTCCGGGCTGTGATAGCTGCAAGGGGGAAGACCTCTAAAGAGAGAACATTTCCTTATTTCATAAATCTATAAGTTCAAAACGGGAAGGTCGCACCTCAAAAATGGAGAAAGTCATGAATAAATTTACAGCAGGTGACAGGGTGTGTGTGTGTGTGTGTGTGTGTGTGTGTGTGTGTGTGTGTGTGTGTGTGTGTGTGTGTGTGTGTGTGTGTGTGTGTGTGTGTGTGTGTGTGCTCACCTAATTGTGCTTGCGGGGGTTGAGCTCTGGCTTTTTGGTCCCGCCTCTCAACTGTGTGTGTGTGTCACTCTTACATGGTCAGAGTGTCAAGCCGAGGGAGGGGGGGGGGGGGTAGGGAGGCAGCAGGTACGCCCCGAGACACAGAATAACTATGGAGGTCGCGGCGAGGGCTCGAACTTATGAGGACTATGAGGACTATAGGTTGCGTGTGCGTGGGAACACCCACCGCATAGCTTCGAACCCTCATCACTGCTCCTGCAGATTTTTTGTTTTTAGTATAATTATTATGGAGTGGCAAAGAGAGAGACCGGGGCTGTGAGCGTGGTGTCAAGACCTGGAGAGTTCGTGTACTCGCACTCAAGTGTCACGCACTCAAGTGAGTGTCTCGCACTCAAGTGAGTGTCTCACACTCAAGCGAGTGTCTCGCACGCCCTTCCGTGCCGTACAGGCCACGGACAGTAACACCCGTCACTGACAGCTCCAGCGGCTCATTGACGTACAACTCCTCAGACGTGTAGACAGCACCTGGAGTGGTGTGAGAGTACCTGGGGTGGTGTGAGAGCACCTGGGGTGGTGTGAGAGCACCTGGGGTGGTGTGAGAGCACCTGGGGTGGTGTGAGAGTACCTGGGGTGGTGTGAGAGTACCTGGGGTGGTGTGAGAGCACCTGGGGTGGTGTGAGAGCACCTGGGGTGGTGTGAGAGCACCTGGGGTGGTGTGAGAGCACCTGGGGTGGTGTGAGAGCACCTGGGGTGGTGTGAGAGTACCTGGGGTGGTGTGAGAGTACCTGGGGTGGTGTGAGAGTACCTGGGGTGGTGTGAGAGTACCTGGGGTGGTGTGAGAGCACCTGGGGTGGTGTGAGAGTACCTGGGGTGGTGTGAGAGTACCTGGGGTGGTGTGAGAGCACCTGGGGTGGTGTGAGAGTACCTGGGGTGGTGTGAGAGTACCTGGGGTGGTGTGAGAGCACCTGGGGTGGTGTGAGAGTACCTGGGGTGGTGTGAGAGTACCTGGGGTGGTGTGAGAGTACCTGGGGTGCTGTGAGAGTACCTGGGGTGGTGTGAGAGTACCTGGGGTGGTGTGAGAGCACCTGGGGTGGTGTGAGAGTACCTGGGGTGGTGTGAGAGCACCTGGGGTGGTGTGAGAGCACCTGGGGTGGTGTGAGAGCACCTGGGGCGCTGTGAGAGCACCTGGGGTGGTGTGAGAGCACCTGGGGTGCTGTGAGAGCACCTGGGGTGCTGTGAGAGCACCTGGGGTGGTGTGAGAGTACCTGGGGTGGTGTGAGAGCACCTGGGGTGGTGTGAGAGCACCTGGGGTGGTGTGAGAGCACCTGGGGTGGTGTGAGAGCACCTGGGGCGCTGTGAGAGCACCTGGGGTGGTGTGAGAGCACCTGGGGTGGTGTGAGAGCACCTGGGGTGCTGTGAGAGCACCTGGGGTGCTCAGAGAAGACATAGCGCTCGCAGACAGCTCCAAGGACTGGTGGAGAGGGGCGAGAGGGACCACAATACCCACACAAACAAAGCAGATCCAACGAACTTTTTCCAATACTGTATTGGCAACATTGTTACACTGGGCGTGTACTCACCTAGTTGGACTCGCCTACTCCAGAGCCTTCAGCACCCGTGTTCGGAGTCTTCATCCACTTCTTCACTTTTATCACCAACCGGTTTATTCACTATTCAGGCTCTGAAAAAATATACATTGAATTTAGTTTTCCCGTGTCCCATTGTTCTTGTATAAAATAATGTACCTGCTTATATTTATTTCCCTGAGTATTTTGTATGTGGTGATCATCTCTGTTGCTAGTACAGAGAAGAAACATGGCAGAGTTATTCATGGTAAACCATATATATTAATTCTGGGACTTGTCTGGTGCCATACCTCTCACTTTTCTCAAGTTTTGTGTTATGTTTAACCAGATAAAACGTTACGGCTGCACTGCATATTCCAGATTTGGTCTGATATACGTGATATACAGGGGCCCCTGAACGAGTCCTCATTACCCAGTTGATGTGGTCTTCGGGAGACTGGTTCGGCGTGATGACAATCATCAGGTCTTTTTTTTTCTCTCTGTACGACGCTAGAATACTCTTCTTGTTTCATTGCTTTGCACTTGCTCGAGTTAAACTCTAGTGGCCACTTATTGGAACGTTCTTTAATGTTGTTCAGTTTGTCTTTTATTTTCTTGTAGGCTTCCACAGTGTTTATCATCATTATCTGATGATATAATGATGATTATCATCATTATCTGATGATATGATGATGTTTATCATCATTATCTGATGATATAATGATGATTATCATCATTATAGGCTTGTACAGGAAGAAGTCAAGCCACTCTGGCACATCATCAACATGGGTTAGGAAAATTGGTGCTAGTATTGACCTCTATGGAAGCCTGACAGTAATTTAACATCACTCTAAACTGTCTTCCCTGACTGTGAGTGACTGGTGGTGTTCCTTTATGAGCACCACTCTCCTGTCTCTCTCTCAACTGTGTTGTAGTCTTATTTAGTCTTAATATATTATGTAGTCTTATTTAATAGTCTTATCCATCATCTCTCCCCATAACTCCACTAGCCTCCCCCCAGCTCCTCCACTCGCCCCCCTCCCCTTCCCCACGCTTACTCCTCCTTCAGAGTGGAGGCAGCGAGGCACATCTGCCTTTGTGGTGCCTCATTGTGAGAGGTCCCCCATCATCGTGCTCGACTCCCCTCGCCCCAGCAGGTCATCTCCCCGGCAGTAGTAATCTACCTGAGAGGTGCTGGATCCTCCTCCCACTGATTGGGGGCCGGACTGTTCACTTGACGGCCACAGTTGATGAAAGCCTCAGTCACCCCATCTGTTGCACGACGCTATACAGCTGGCAACCCCCTCGTCCGCCTCTCTTTTTCCCTCTTGTATATTTCTCGACTTTTTATCCGATTTTATATTCTTTCTGTTGCTGTGTGCTCATTTTATTCTTCGGGTAAGGGGGGTGGGGATATGGGGGGGGCAGGGGGGGGGACGTGTGAGAGAAATGTAGGTAAATGTGCGAACTGGCAACATGCACTGATGGACCATTGGCCGGCTTGGTTATTGAGTTCGCGTCAGTATTGTCAGAGTCGGCGGTGTCTGGCTACGTCACTCGCTCCCACACACTCATAAACTAACTCCGATCTCTGGCGATGCACTCGAGTGCCAATACTCCACCGAGCAAGTGTTTATCTCCTCACGGGTCATCCACAAGTGCCTCGTGAGAGGGTCAACAGAGGACATGGCACACAGCGTCGAGTGAAAGAGAGGGAGGGTGGAGTGGTCGTTGGCACCACTGGCCTGGACTTTGATGCCGATGACCCCTACTACAAATTACACATCAATCACCGCTAGTTTCACGGGGAGGGGGGGGGGGGAGAGAAGGGGGGAGTGACCCCTCACGTATTTACTCTGGCATTCCCAGGAATTCACTCATTCCATCCCAGACTCGATTCCAATTCCCTGGTGAATATTCTGGGTTTGCTTGGCGTGTGTTGAGCTGCGGTGGGCTGCCGGGCCGTCAAGGGCCCAATCACCTCACTAAACACCTCTCCTCACAAACATTCACATACATTTGCCTCTATTTGTTGTGCTTCAACTGGACCAAAAGCAAACTTTGAAAGGGGGATGAGTAAGGATTACCAGGTGTAGAGAAGGGTGGGTGTGGGCGTGGAGAGGGTGTAGGGGTGTGGGCGTGGAGAGGGTGTAGGGGTGTGGGCGTGGAGAGGGTGTAGGGGTGTGGGCGTGGAGTGGGTGTAGGGGTGTGGGCGTGGAGAGGGTGTAGGGGTGTGGGCGTGTAGTGGGTGTAGGGGTGTGGGCGTGTAGTGGGTGTAGGGGTGTGGGCGTGTAGTGGGTGTAGGGGTGTGGGCGTAAGGGGCTGTGAGTGTAGGCTGCTGTGTTCACCTAGTTGTGTTTGCGGGGGTTGAGCTCTGCTCTTTCGGCCCGCCTCTCAACTGTCAATCAACTGTTTCTAACTACTACTACCATTTCCCCACACCACACACACACACACACACTAGGAAGCAGCCCATGACGGCTGACTAACTCCCAGGTACCTATTTACTGCTAGGTAACAGAGGCATAGGGTGAAAGAAACTCTGCCCATTGTTTCTCGCCGGCGCCCGGGATCGAACTCGGGACCACAGGATCACGTGTCTAGCGTGCTGTCCGCTCGGCCACCGGTCCCCGTATGCTGTGGGCGTAGAGTCGTGTTCTCGTAAAGGGGGGTGTAGGCGTGGGGGGGGGGGGATTTCCGGGTGTTGGCGTACGGTGGTGCGTATATAGACAAGGGAGCCGGTCGGCCGAGCGGACAGCACGCTCTACTTGTAATCCTGTGGTCCCGGCCGACCGGCTGGCCCAAGCTACGTCTTAAATAGTAAAATGAATGATTTATTGCTTAAGTTACTGACAGTCCTCCTATGTTAGATAATACTGCATATTCTGCTGATGTTATTCTGTCGAGTTCCTTTTGTGTTACGGCCTCTTCCAAGACATTTTAAGTTTTTGATTCTTGCAAGGAAGTGATTCTCTTGTACATTGTATACGCTCCTTCCCCAAATGTTAGAACCTCAAAACTTTTTATTTCGCGGAGTTCAACTCCAGTACCCATTTTGTCTACCCGCAGCTTCTCTAGGTCCCTTCGTAGTATCGTACACTCGTCTTCTGCCAAGATTATGTACGATCTTTCTGCCTAGTGGGACCCTGCTTGACGCTTGCTCCCTCACTCTCACCGTCTGTGTCCTGTTTGTTAGATACTCTCTACAGCAGTCCAGTGCCTTCTTACATACCAAAGCTTGTTTATACAGCTATTTTTTTGGGAGGGGGAGGGAGGGGAATGTCAAGGGTTTAGGTAAAGTAAGATTATTCAAGCCACTCCATCTTCTAGGAAATCTATATGTTTATCTCTCAGAATGTTTGGTAATATGTTTATTGTTTGTGATGTGTGTATATGTATGTATTAACACGATGTACTGGACGGGGTGAGAATAGCTTGAGCTACCTCATCCCTTTGTGTGTATTTTACCTCAATAAACTTATTTCAATTTCAATTTCAATCCCATCTTCTTCCTCTGGTGTAGGGTCTTGATGAACTTGTCTACGAAGTGAATTATGTTCCTGAGACTTGCCGCGTTCTTCAGCAACGTTGTAGTCTCTCTGTTACTTAACCAGTCTTCTGTGCCACTATCATCTGTCTCACTACCGTCTGGTGTGTGGGGGGGGGGGGGTGTCGGTGACGCAGGTCTGTTGTTCAAGTGCTCGCACCTCTCTACTGCTCTTCAATATTACCACCACCTGTGTGCTCGTTCACGTTCCCAGAGTTCCTCGTTCGTTAAGAACTGCCACCATGACTAGACGGGCTCACCATAGCCCGTGCTACTTGGAACTTTTTGTTCCAGGTAGCGAATCTTAAATAACAACATGTCACCACGACTACCACTGTCGCCACCACAGCCATAATGTCACCACGACTACCACTGTCGCCACCACAGCCATAATGTCACCACGACTACCACTGTCGCCACCACAGCCATAATGTCACCACGACTACCACTGTCGCCACCACCATAAGCACTGTCGCCACCACAGCCATAATGTCACCACCATAAACAGTGTCACCACCTCCACCGTAGCCTCCTATAGGCCCATTGCGAACTCTTTCCTGGTGCATATATCTGCCCACGCAGAGCCCACACCAGCGACGCTCTAGCCAACAAAAGCGAAGGTTCGCTCCCGAATCTCAACAACGTGGAATTGAAATCGAAATCACAATCATAGAAGAAGTGTCAAACAAAAGAAGGCCGCCGTGACACCAATAGGACAATATGACTCCATTGTACTGCGTCGCGAGAAGATTCAGTCGCCTATTGTGTCGTGTGCATTGGCGTAAACGATGCGCCATTGTTTTCATGGGCGCGGGGAGATGGAGTTTCATGCACCTATTTTCCAAATGGGTATATGACTGAGTATTTTCTTTGTCTGTATTCTCTGGGGTTATAGTAGTGGGTAAGGTTGAATATTTGTTCTGGTGTGGTGAAGGATGCGAGGCAACATCTGCACTCACCGAGGGGGATAATAAGACGCTCTCGACCCTTAAATGAAGATGGTGTATTAATTATTGCAGAGGTACAAGTTAGGCCTCGGTCAAGAGGACTTTGGTGCGCGAAATGCCAAGACTTGCGATGTTCCCAGGGGTCGAGGAGCACTCCAAGTTGGGCGCTCTATTTCCAGGAAGAGTCGAACTTGAGTGCTCCGAACACAATGATATCCACTGCATGCGAACACTGATACCCACTGCCTCCCAACACTGATACCCACTGCCTCCCAACACTGATACCCACTGCCTCCCAACACAATGATACCCACTGCCTCCCAACACAATGATACCCACTGCCTTCCAACACAATGATACCCACTGCCTTCCAACACAATGATACCCACTGCCTTCCAACACAATGATACCCACTGCCTTCCAACACAATGATACCCACTGCCTTCCAACACAATGATACCCACTGCCTCCCAACACAATGATACCCACTGCCTTCCAACACAATGATACCCACTGCCTTCCAACACAATGATACCCACTGCCTCCCAACACAATGATACCCACTGCCTTCCAACACAATGATACCCACTGCCTTCCAACACAATGATACCCACTGCCTCCC